CCTATGGCTGCTGCAGTAAGGACTCAGCCTTGGTACATGGTCTAGCAGGTGGGCTATCTAAGCGCCTCTTTTTCATATTTCCAAGAAAGACAGACTCCTTTCACTCAGGTTCCTCTCTGCTGGGCCATCGACCATCCCGGAAGCTCTTTGGCTCTGTTTACACAGGTATTAACATGTGGACAGCTCTAAGTACGTGTGTGAACGCACCGAAGACGCACAGAGGACGCACTGAGATCATCCTATCATTCAGAGCACATTCGGAGGTGGTGTGTGCAGCATGTGACCACATTGTTTTAGTAGTGTGTATGCTGTGTCCTGGTCCACACTGAAGGACCACCTACTCAGCTGATGTCCTATAAATACTTGCTGTCTGATTTGTATTTGGTTCCATATTGAACTGCTATGTTTCTATAGTAGCCCTGAATAAACAAACCAAACACTGGCTGTAGGCAGGGCCTTTCAAGTTTTTCATGAGTTTTGTAGCCACTGTAGTTTGTCCTACACACGTCACAGCCTGTTCTCCTCTCCAGGTTGTCAAATACAGACTGTGTTCATTTAGTTGCAATCTGCAAAACTGATTTCACCACTGAACTAATAACCACATCCTCAGACTCCCTTAAAATATTACGTAATTTTGTGGGGTTGTTGAGCAAGGAGAACCTTTCTTAACTTTGTGAAATGCAGTCTACAACTAATTCTTGATTATTTGGGCCTTCATGTAAATTCGGCAAAAGTTATACGTGAAGTTTTTTCTTTCTTTGTGTAAAAAAACAATTTGTCCGTTTGTCCCAGTGTGTTGGCATGGAGACCCAGCAGAAGAGACGCTCCATGGTGGGAGCATGGCGCACAGTTACTTTCTGTGGCATTAATGCCTTTCTTCCCCATGTGAACTGCGTGAATATATCAGATTTCCACACAGTTGGACAAAGTAAAAGTGTCCTGCTCATATAGTTGTCTGACAGTGCAGGTAAAACATGCGACCCAGGTTTGTACAGGACTTCAGTGAGGCGCTGAAATGAAAAAAAAAGGGAAATGAATAGTCAAATCTTCTCTCTCTCCTGGCTGTCCCAGTCATTTGGATCTGGATCATCGTACCCATTTCAGATTTCAGGCTCTCCTCTTCCCTCCTCTCTCCCTACTTTGCATGTGTGCCGTGTGTTTGTCTGCCTCTCTTAGTGTGAATGTTGTGCTTTTTCTTCTCTGTTTGTGTGGCCTGTCCTCTTCTAGTTCTCCATAGTGTAGAGGGTGGGTGGCTCAGAACCCACTTGGCAACACCTGAAGTTGTTCAATGTCCTCCTGGATCCACATCCTTCACATATATTTTTTAATCTTATAATTTTTTTTTTATCAAAATGTGTGTATAATGTGATTTTGGTGGTTTGTTCTGTACACTCGACATCTATTGCGTATCTGTCCATCCTGGTAAAGGGGTCCCTCCTCTGTGGCCACAGGTAGAATAAATATCTAAGGGGGGTACAAGGCGTATAGCAGGGGGGCACCAAATTGTTGGACATACTTTGTTAGTAATAACCTGTGGGAGATGCACTTTCTTGTTTTCTGGCAGTTACTGGCAGGTGGCAATGCTTTTATGGATAGTGAAAGTGAAACCTTTAGGTGGTATACTGTACTGTTAAAGGGGTTTTGGGGGAGTTTTTCCCTTATTCAAATAAGGGTCTAAGGACAGAGGGTGTCGTAATTTGTTAATTTGTGTAATTTGTGATTTTGTACTCCATTGACAGAAAACTCCTACACTTTACTTATTTATATATAAATATCTTTTGTGTAAGTAATTAAAAACTGTAAGGTGAAATCGTCATTGTTGATACAAGGTCATGTTCACAAGTTTATTAATGTGGTGTTAATGTGTTTGGTGGTTCCCAGAAAAATCTGTGTTGGTTCACACATAAACAGGTTTATTCATCCCCACAGTGACAGTGCCAGCCAAGATGAAACACCACGTGCCAGCTGTGGCGCACTAATTAATTAAGCTTATAAAACAGGTTTGTACAAATCTACACAACCAATATGTGTGAGGTGAAATGACTGAAAACAACCACACATGGGATTTTTGAAATCAGCATTGTGTCAGTGTTGCTTCTTCTAGCCAGGGGCACCAACAAGGGTCCACAGTCACTGCTTCAAGCTTGCATGAGAGGCATGCAATCATTAAATCAGTATATAGTGGAAAATGACCCATAGCCCAAGGTTGACCAAATTCCTTGTTTTATCCACAAATAAAATCTAAATATAATACAGAAAACTACACGTTTGTTGGTCACTGACTCTGACACCCATCTCAACCACAGAAGTTTGCAGAATAACAGGTGTTAAAAGTTAAAATTAAATGAAAACGAAAGTGTGCAATTTAAAGAATACGGGAACCGTGCTCCACTAAAATACAGATCTTCCTACAGATACCATTGGTGTATTTTTCACAGCCAATATCTTTTCATGACCCGTGAGATCTGTGGCTGTATTAAGAGAGTAATGGCTTCTGCGGGCTCTCATCGCCTTCGTCAGTGAAACAGGCGGCTGTGTGGATTGATGTGACCTCACTGCCGTCCATCATTGCAGGTTCAGTGGGTGGCAGAGCGACAGGTAACCGGAGAGAGACAGGGGTTGATAGAGTGAGTGACTCAGAGGGAGTGAAACCGCACACACACACACACACACACAATACACTGCACCCTCGGCTGCTCGTATGCACACACAAACACACACAATCCCAGAGTATACACATGACAGCATCATGCTGTTTCTGAGGAGCGGGCAGGTTGAAAGTGGAGGGAGAGTCAGTGCATATTCTGTCACATATGAGTGTGTGTGTGTGTGTGTGTGTGTGTGGCAACAAAGACAGTATTTCTCTCTTTGATGTATCCCCTTTCTCTCAGTTATTGCAGCTTTGCCACTATAAAGCTTTCTACACAACAGCAGCCCGATTTGATTAGTGTTGCTTTTGTATGAATGATTTGACAACAATTTCACAAGAGAGCTGTGATTTGTTTGTTCTTTCAAGATGGAATTGCGCTTCTCTTCAGACGCTCTGTCATTTAAGACCCACCAGGGGGCGCAAAAACATTAAAAAACATGCCTAGTGTAGCTCATTCCTTTAAAATAATCCAGCTCAGAGACTACAAGGGTCTGCTTGCTGCTTATTTGATTAATTTGTATTTTATTTCCTTTAAACCTTTGGATATTAGAGGCTTTTATTTTAGTTTATTCGGCCATGCTCCAGGAAATACGCATAGAAACATACACATACAAACTATAAATATATAAGCGATCTTATAAACTATTTGGAGAAAATGTGACATTCTCTTACTCTCTCACTTATACATTATATCATTTACAAACGTGCGAAATCCATTATAGGACTTTTGTGAATGTGAGGGACATAATTGTGTTTACTGACACTTGTGTTCGCGCATCTTAGACATGTAAAAAAAATAAATACGAGAACCATTTATAACTGCTTATTCACTTAACATGCAACATAATATATCAACCTAATGAAAAAAAAAGATGTATTTATTTATTTTATATTCATATATACTAACATTTTATATACTATATTATATCCTTTATATTTCTCCTTTGTCTGTGTTGGTTGTGGACATGTGTCTTTATCCTTTCATTGTGTTTCACGTTAGATTTAGTAGCGAATCTGTTGGCAGCGCTGTGAGCAGCAAAATAACAGCATCTTCATTTTAATTCGTCTGAACAGGGAAATAAGTGAGGGTAGAGGAGGAGGGGAGATCCGTGTGTTGGGGAGGAGGTGGTGGTGGTGGTGAGGAGGTCAGGAGGAGAGGAGGAGGCAGGAGGTGGGAGGAGAGGAGTGGATGGTGGTGGTGGTGGTTAGGGAAAAGAAGGAGACAGAGGAAACGCAGACCTCAGACCAGCCCACCTCACCTCACTGTGCTCTCTCTCTCAGCCCGGTGCCCGTAGACAAATCTGACCGCGGATCAGCGCACTCGGGCTCCCTTCCACACTACGAGTTACACCAACTGGGACTCAGACCAGAGGAAATCGTGTTCGTCGGCCGCCAAGACACATCCACAGCAGACCACGGCGAGGAGCGGACGGTGTGATAAGAAGGGGCTGAAACCAAGGGGGAAGGCTGGTAGGAACAACAGAGGGGGGTTTGAGGCAAGAACACATTTAGCTGCGAGCGGAGAGAGGACTGGCTGGCCCCCGCTATAAGGAGAAGTAATACGCGTTGCTAATTTCCAACATTTTCTATTATTGGCAGCGAGTGTGCTTCCCCGAGCCACATTTATAAAGAGAGCTAGCGGAATGTAATGCTAGCGAGCTAGCTACTGTTAGCTAGCTAATTAGCTTGTCAAGCATCCAGGAGTCGGACGTGTGATCTTTATTCAAATAGGTCACTGTTTGGCGTCGTTTTACTTTTTTTTTTTTTTTTATTATTGGAAAACTGTACTTAACGTGCTTTGTCCAGAGTCCTGGCATGGTCATGATGTTCAGCCTCGAATAGCTAACGACAAGTTAGACAATAAACAGTGCTAGAAGCTGCCGATATTGATGAAAATCTGCTCTGAATTATCCGTCTGCGATTCTTTGGGAAAAGCCTGATCCATTGTGAAAACCGAGCTGAGGACGAACCAAACGGAGAAGGCAAAGGTAATAAGAAACAGACTTTTGACTGGTGACTGTCTGCCGTCCAATGTTAATGTCGACCGACGTTGCATCTATAATGCTACCCGTTAGTCGGGGAATAATGGACCGGGAAAGAGACATTGATACAGCAGCCGGACCCCTGGCAAACGCGGCCGGGGGTCCAGCAGCTGTCCGGGGGATGAAGCGAGGAGACCCGGAGCCCGACGCTCAGACAGCCGCTGCCCTGACTGACTTAGCCGGGGCGGAGTGCAAAAGACCCAGGATAGACGGGACCGGGACTGTTGTTGGTGACATTGGACAGGTAGGAATGCAATGTTAACACACACACACACACACACACACTATTAATATCTCACATCTGTGTCGTTTTGTGTGTGCGAGCATTGTAACAAAGTATCCTCTGCCCTCCCCTTTCTTCTTCTCCTCCAGTATAAAGCTTTTGTTCCTAAGCATCAGCAGGGAGTGATGATAATGTTTTGATAGGCCCCTTTCTCTCATCAACAACATAATCATGCATCATTGCAGCAAACAGGGGAAATCAATCCTCTAATCATAACTAAATGTGAGGTTTCTGTATGACAGTGTGACCATAGTAAAAAAAAACGTGGGTTTGCTGAAATACTGTAGCTGTGCTCCTGGAGCTGCTCAGTGAGGGAGCATGACCAAGCCAGACAAAGGTAATATGATACAGGCTCCATTGCTATGACAGACAGCAGCACAGCAAAGATCAGACCCATTCATCATGCCTGTCTCATGGAGAGTAAACCAGTGCTTTCTCACACGTTGCCAGGCACACTGTATTCTATTTATTTCTCTACATTCTCATGGATGAAATCAATCACTTGCGGTGGTAATTTACCGTGAGTCATCACATGAAATCCTGATACACGCCGCATGTGCAATTAATCGCTCTGTGCCCCCCCATTGTCGCTAGGTGTTAAAAGAGAGAGGCAGACGGGGATTGGGGGAGGGGTCACCACAGCGAAAGACAAAGAACAGAGCCTTTTGGTGTGTAGGCTGAAGGAGCAAGGGGGCTCAAGGGGGGCCCTCCTTAACACGGGTCTTCCCTGCTTTCATGACTCGACTGCTGAGGCAGCAAAGCATCAGCAACCATTCTTTCCTCTGAAGGACTAATCTGTGCATATTACAGTAAACCAGGGGACCGCCGAGGCACAGGGTGCACCTCTCTCGCTTGCTCTCCCTGGATCTGTTCTCTCTCTCTCTCTCGCTCATGAACACATGCACTGCACGTCCTTCTTACACCTACAGTACACGCATATGCTTTGAAGTGTCCAAAATCCAGCGGCACACGGGAGAATTTTAGCTGACGTCTGGTGTTTTAGTCCAGGGAAACAGCGCTAACAGCAGTCGAAGGGCAGGCGGACGTGGTTTGAGGTCATCCGCAGGTAATTGAATCCTGGGGAACTGGTAAAATACTTTAATTGGCTGTGTGGCCGACCTGCTGCAGTGACAAATGGGTCCCATGTAATGCCGCGATGCTCTGTGAGCTTCACAGAGGATGGATGCTGATGATGGGGAAAGGTTATAGCCCGCCAGCAAAGATGATGACAATGACAATGAGCGGCGTGGCATGGCGAGGATTCTCACCGCCCATCAGTTGTATTGATCGCTGGGCACTGGGGGGTCAGGATGGAAATGGGAGGGAGTGAAACAGTGACGTGGAGGGAGGGGTGAGTTGGTGGATGGATGGATGGAAGGCGAGATAGAAAGTGATCGGCGGATGCACATAGGAAGGGAGAGAGGGGTGGATGGAAGGAGGTGGAGGACAAAGAGAAATGAATGGAGACAATATTTGGGGGTACTAACGGAGAGAACGGGGGCTGTTGCCTGGATGGATAGATGTGGGGAGAAATAAAGGATGGAGACAAGGTGACAGAAAGGAAACCAGAGCCATTAGTTTGCATCCATCAGGGATCAAGATAAAGGGAGAGAGGACAGTGATGGATGGCAGGGATGACTCGATCAGTTGGGGGAGAGGTGAGCGGGAGGATAGGCTCTGAATGAAGCGGAATAGTTGAATAACACTTCATGCAAGGGGTAAATAAGACACCGAGGGCTAATACCGGCAAGTCAGCCACGGTGGTTGGATGGCAGTGGCTCACCGTAGCTGAGTGTGAGGGGAGGATGAGTTCAGTGGACGCTCCTCTAACTCAATGCACCCACCTTGAGGTGGAGGGGAGATGAGTTCAGGTGGGACGCTCTCTAACCAATGCACCCACCGATAGCCACAGTATTT